GTTTACGTCCACCGATAATAAAACCCGGTAGAATTTCGAGTCCGTTTGGAACCGACTCGTTCAACAGGGTGACTAAATCTGCTGAAAATACACATCTTGGCTATATTCCTACATTTCTATTAGGCATTGACGTTCTATTTCTGTATGCATGTCGTTTGTACTAAGTGGAGGTTACCGACTTTTTAAAAAAAAACGTTTTCCGTATAAATCATGCTTCTCTAAAATAGTTTTGTGTTGTTAAAAAACAGTAACAGATAACAGAAACGACATCACTTGAGAAGTTTTAACTAGAGCAACAATAAAATGGAGATGTAACTCAAAGAGTTAAATATCTATTAATGGCATAATCAAGATGATGACATTTCACACTACTTCAAAAAAAAGGTAAGGAAAGAAACTATCATTAATACTGGAAAGAGTGATAACAGCTGCTGGACGTGAAAAAACTATTTTCCTGAAAAATCGTTTGAAGAGAAAGCTTTTTATAAATCTTAACTTACAATGGCACAGGCCGCTCGGTCAATGAATGAATCCGTATAAGTAAATGGCTAATATCGCCATTCTCACTGCCATTATCATTGCCTTGGTGTTAGGTAAGAAACATAGGCATAAGCTATTGTGAATTTGTATTACACACTCTGATAGCATTCTGAACGTGAAAAATTACATTTCTAGTTCCAGTGTCTTCAACAAAGTGATATTGTTATTGCTCCTTTCGGCATATCATGTTGATTTTCTATTGGATTTTCCATTCTAGTTTCCTTGGTAACATTGTTAATATTGATCTACTGAGGCCCTCCGGTAATTCGCCGCTGTTATATATTTCATTAATTACTTCATATAAACTTATTTTCTTCTTATTTTCAAGTGCTGAGCTAATATCAGATTTTAATTCTACAGGTTTTTCGAAGCTTTATATATATATATATATATATATATATATATATTAACTGATTTAAAATATGTTTTTTCACTACACAGTAATAACCATGTTTCAAAAATGGAAGCTAAAAGCTTCAAATTTAATTCTGTAATTAAATTAAAAACATTAGTTCCATTTCATCCTCAAGCGAATTTTCGCGAAAAAAACGATATTTTAAATCAGTTAATTTATAATATTAATGCTCTGTAAATTTACATTGAGCACTATTTTTTAAAAATAAAATATCAATAAGAACACCGGATTATATATCTTACTGTTCTTTCTTTCTATATATATATATATATATATATATATATATATATATATATATATATAGGCTTTTTTTTACTTGCTTTAATTTTTTCCTCTTTATACTTTCTAGCGATAAGAATTTGTTATTCTTTTTCAGTGTCCTGCCGAAGTGCATATTTTCTGTCTTGAAATTCATTTTATATAAATGGACAAGTAAATTTTGCTCGTATTTATACTTCGTTGGTGAGGCATATACTTGAGTTCATAAGTAAGTATTGGTCTTTTTTTGTTTTGTTTGTGCATTAGTTTGTAGGTGAATATTGTTCGTTTATATATTGCTGAGTAAATTCTGGTCGCATGTACTGTTGAATTCTACAAGTAAAGATTGGTTGGCTTTATAATTTATAGCTGAAAATTTCTCGTTTTGTATTTGGGTTTCAATGTAAGTATTAATCGCGTTTATACGTGAAGCTCTCGGTAAACTTTAGCCGCACCTATTATTGACTCTACATGTAAAGATTGGACGTGTTTATATTTGAGTCCAAAATAGGTAAACATCGGCAGATTTTTTACTTGTCTTTCGAAGTAAACATCGTACTCTGACTTGAATCTCTAGACAAACATCAGTCGCGTGCATTCTTGATCCAACAGTAGTATTTATAAAACAGTCTACAGAAAGTATTTGAAACCTATCTGAAATTAAAAAAAGCGCTCATCAACAATACAATTACACTCACAAACACACACACACACTTACATATATATATATATATATATATATATATATATATATATATATAATATATATGGAAGAGGTTATAGTTGTTCCAAAGATAGAACAGTGTATATTTTAAAAGAATATAAACCGCAAACGTTTTTGGTTGAAATGTGGATTTTGTTTTATTTTAAAATATATATTATACTCTATTTTCCATAATTCAGCTACACGGGTTTCTGGTTTTGTAACCTTCTTCAAGCAAAAAGTAGATATTCCCACATATTATAAAAATGAGTTTTTTGCGTGGTAGCGTTTCGAATGTCTTTCTTGGACGGGTTATAAGAGCTTATATATACATATAGATATTTATATCATACAATAATTTGTCGGGCCTAGAATAATCCTAAATAGAATGCAGAAAGCACTGGACATCCGTCTCGTCCTATGTGGGACTCATCAGCAGTGCGCATCCACTACCGAGAATCCAACACGAATCGTATCAATACAACGCAAGCGTCATGCCAACTGTACCACGGGCCTCGGTGACAAATAAGACACAAACAAGACTCGATAGAGCGCCGCCACTCAGTTCCGCAGTGATATTCATTCAAGTATTCAGATAAACTGGGAATAGTGCCCCGAGAGAGTCGACTACTAATATATATATATATATATATATATATATATATATATATATATATATGTGTGTGTGTGTGTGTGTGTGTGTGTGTGTGTGTGTGTGTGTGTGGTATGTAATTCCAGTCAAATCCATTGCACGTGCCAATCCCCTTTAGAAAGGTAGTAATTCCCTTCTCTTTCCAAGTTGATTTGTAGATCTGGAGGCTGGGTTCTATAGCCTTGGATAGCAACAGGTCTAAGAGATGGACAACTCTTAATTCGAAACCTGCGGAGAGTCGTTTGGGAACTTTGTGGTATGTAGTACACCAGGCCTCTGTATTCGGCCCTTCAAAAATGTGGTTGGTTCTGCACAAAGCCTTCACCAGTGTATTCAAATCATATGTGATGTTGTCTGGCTGTCGGTTCATAGGAACTGAGCTGCTTGACCTTCATACGTCGAATACGACGAGAAAGTTCAGCATACATACATATATATATATATATATATATATATATATATATATATATATGTGTGTGTGTGTGTGTGTGTGTGGATCGGAATCTGCCAGGATGATAAAATAAAAGAAGAAATAGAAAACTTATAAAAATCTAATATGTTTTCACTTTGCTAAAGCCTCGTCAGAGTTTCGGAGAAAAAAAAAGAAAAATCTCTGACAAAACTTTATTAAAAGTGAATCATATTAGATTTGCATACGTTTCCTTTTTGTTCTTTTATTGTATCATATATATATATATATATATATATATATATATATTGGTGCTCCTGATTTGCTCAAGATTTGGGGCAAAATCCAAAGAACCAGACCACATTCACTTTCACTGACGAGCGACAATAATTTAATCGACCAACTAGGTGTCACCACTTTACTGTTGAAATAGCTAAATGCAACCGCTAATTTGTACTGCAACAATTTCTTTTCTCGCGCTTTCCACGTGTGAAAATCCCTTCAGCTTTCTTGCTTCCCTGATAACTACGATCTTCAAAAATTTAAAACGCCATATTCTATCTTCTTGAACCCTGCGTATTGTTTTATATTGTTTTGTCCTTTTCTCAATCCTCCCTATTTGCTGCCTTCCATTTCACTTTATTTCCCTGTAACCTGCTGCCTATTAATGGCACTACCTCTATTCTTGGGTGAAATGATTGAATATATATATATATATATATATATATATATATATATATATATATATATATATAAATTACCAAGAGGATAGAATCCAGGTAGAACTCAATGTCCAGAACAGAGTAAGAATAGGTCTGATGAATTGGATCGTGATTACGATTCCAATGCAATAAATTATAACCATGAAATATTAGTTTGAACCTTATATATATATATATATATATATATATATATATATATATATATATTACAAGCTTCATTAGAAAGCCAGGGGCCACTCACGGTAGAGGGTTACGTTAAGAGGCAGTTTATACGAATAGAAGGTTGGAGATAACGATTAACCCTTCACGTGAATAGGTTAAGATCGTAGCAATCGGGAAGCATGCTCTTGGGAGCTGGTCCCGCAGAGTAGAGGTTCGCGAGAAGAATCTGTTCGAGTGGAACTTACTTCTCACCGATGGAATACGGACGTGGTTTGCTCCAATGTGAATGGTATGGCAGGTCCTGGCTGTTATGGTTAGAACTGGCGGAACCAAGAAAGGAGCACTTTCTATGGAAGTAGCCCCCCCCTGGGGCATGAGATAGTTGCGACATTCCGCCTGTGGCAGAGAATTTGGAGGCTGGAAAATAATTTTGAAAGTTAATATTTCATGAGAAATTTTCAAAAGAGATATTTCATTCTTTCAAAACAATACAAAACTTCAAAAGGGAACACTCTGGCTTGAATGTTATTATTGTCTCGGTCGATTCACCTATTGAAGGTTTACCTGTAGCTCTCCAAAGTCAAGGTGTCCAAGATCCACCTCACAGCCTCTTTCATCTCATCCACGTTTTCAGAAAAGTTAATCCACGAGCAGTTTTGGTTTTATAAGTTCTTTCGGTATTTTTACTTAGATTATCCCCAAACATTATCTTTTAAATCAAAGTGGTTTTAATGGCAACGGATTCTGTGAGCTCACATTTGTTCAACTGGCAAGAGCGTGAAATGAAATTGTTTTTCGTTCTGTCGTCATCTTTGCACACAGCGTTCGTTGAGATTTGGCCTTAGGAAAAGCGGGGAATTGCAACGCGAAGTGGTGCTGTCATCGTCTTTGCATAGGTTTGTTAAAATTCCATCTTGGCAACAACGGAAACTGTAATGACATCTGGTGCTGTTGTTATCATTGCACTCAACATTTGTTGAAATTCCGTTTTGGCAACGGCGAGAACTGTCATGACAACTGGTTCTGTCATCGACTTTGCACATACTTGTTCATTGTCAATCTCCACATCCAGAGCCTTCTGCAACAGTTATTCTTCTACATTTAAAGAGAATTTCATTCTCACTAAATTCTGTAACAAGATGTTACTTTTGGTTGGTGTCATCAACATTTATTTTCTTATTGCTTCTCTTTGTGTTTTTTTTTTAATAGTTTTCGGTATCCAAGTTGTTTGCGGAAAAATAGCTGATACTGAATTTATTTTCGCTTTATTCATTCTGTTTTTGACTTTTCTATTTTTCTCTGTCTTGTTCTATAAATCATTTTTCTTTCTTTTTCACTCTATTTCTCTCTTTCTTTTCTGTTTTTCTTTATCTTGTTCTATATCTCCTCTCTTTTTCACTCTACTTCTCTCTCCCTCTCTTTTCTGTTTTTCTCTGTCTTCGTCTATAAATCATTTTTCTTTCTTTTTCACTCTATTTCTCTCTCTTTCTTTTCTGTTTTTCTTTATCTTGTTCTATATCTCCTCTCTTTTTCACTCTAATTCTCTCTCACTTTCTTTTCTGTTTTTCTCTGTCTTCTTCTATATATCCTTTCTTTCTTCTTCACTCTATTTCTCTCTCTTTCTTTTCTGTTTTTCTTTATCTTGTTCTATATCTCCTCTCTTTTTCACTCTACATCTCTCTCCCTTTCTTTTCTGTTTTTCTCTGTCTTCGTCTATAAATCATTTTTTTTTTTTCTTTTTTCACTCTATTTCTCTCTCTTTCTTTTCTGTTTTTCTTTATCTTGTTCTATATCTCCTCTCTTTTCACTCTACTTCTCTCTCACTTTCTTTTCTGTTTTTCTCTGTCTTCTTCTATAAATCATTTTTCTTTCTTTTTCACTCTATTTCTCTCTTTCTTTTCTGTTTTTCTTTATCTCCTCTCTTTTTCACTCTACTTCTCTCTACCTCTCTTTCTGTTTTTCTCTGTCTTCTTCTATAAATCATTTTTCTTTCTTTTTCACTCTATTTCTCTCTTTCTTTTCTGTTTTTTTATCTTGTTCTATATCTCCTCTCTTTTTCACTCTACTTCTCTCTCACTTTCTTTTCTGTTTTTCTCTGTCTTCTTCTATATATCCTTTCTTTCTTCTTCACTCTATTTCTCTCTCTTTCTTTTCTGTTTTTCTTTATCTTGTTCTATATCTCCTCTCTTTTTTCACTCTTTCTTCTCTCTCCCTCTCTTTTCTGTTTTTTTCTGTCTTCTTCTATAAATCATTTTTTTCTTTCTTCTTCACTCAATTTCTCTCTCTCTTTCTTTTCTGTTTTTCTTTATCTTGTTCTATATCTCCTCTCTTTTTTCACTCTACTTCTCTCTCCCTCTCTTTTCTGTTTTTCTCTCTGTCTTCGTCTATAAATCATTTTCTTTCTTTTTTTTCACTCTATTTCTCTCTCTTTCTTTTCTGTTTTCTTTTCTTGTTCTATATCTCCTCTCTTTTTTCTCTAATTCTTCTCTCACTTTCTTTTCTGTTTTTCTCTGTCTTCTCCATATATATCCTTTCTTTCTTCTTCACTTTCTGTTTTTCTCTCTCTTTCTTTTTCTGTTTTTTCTTTTTATCTTGTTCTATATCTCCTCTTTTCACTCTACTTTTCTCACTTTCTTTTCTTTTCTCTGTTTCTCTGTCTTCTCATATATCTCCTTTTCTTTCTTCTTTCATCTATTTCTCTCTTTTCTTTTCTGTTTTCTTTTGTCTTCGTCTATAAATCATTTTTTCTTTCTTTTTTTCTCTATTTCTCTCGCTTTCTTTTCTGTTTTTCTTTATCTTGTTCTATATCTCCTCTTTTTTCACTCTACTTCTCTCCTGTCTTTTCTTTTTTCTCTGTTTTTCTCTAAATCATTTTTCTTTCATTTTATATCCTTTCTTTTCTTCTTCACTTCTATTTTTCTCTCTCTTTTTTTTCTTTTCTGTTTTTTTTTTCTTTTTTCTATATCTCTTTTTCACTTTCTGTTTTCTCTCTTCCTGTATTTTCTCTTTTTTCTCTCTCTTCTTTTCTATTTTCTCATTTTTCTTCTTTTTTCTTTCTTTTTCTCTCTTTTCTTTTCTGTTTTTTTTTTATCTTGTTCTATATCTCCTCTCTTTTTCACTCTACTTCTCTCTCCCCTGTCTTTTTCTGTTTTCTCTGTCTTCTTCTATAAATCATTTTTCTTTCTTTTTCACTCTATTTCTCTCTCTTTCTTTTCTGTTTTTCTTTATCTTGTTCTATATCTCCTCTCTTTTTCACTCTACTTCTCTCTTCCTGTCTTTTCTGTTTTTCTCTGTCTTCTTCTATAAATCATTTTTCTTTCTTTTTCACTCTATTTCTCTCTTTCTTTTCTGTTTTTCTTTATCTTGTTCTATATCTCCTCTCTTTTTCACTCTACTTCTCTCTACCTCTCTTTTCTGTTTTTCTCTGTCTTCTTCTATAAATCATTTTTCTTTCTTTTTCACTCTATTTCTCTCTTTCTTTTCTGTTTTTTTATCTTGTTCTATATCTCCTCTCTTTTTCACTCTACTTCTCTCTCACATTCTTTTCTGTTTTTCTCTGTCTTCTTCTATATATCCTTTCTTTCTACTTCACTCTATTTCTCTCTCTTTCTTTTCTGTTTTTCTTTATCTTGTTCTATATCTCCTCTCTTTTTCACTCTATTCTCTCTTCCTGTCTTTTCTATTTTTCTCTATCTTCTTCTATAAATCATTTTTCTTTCTTTTTCACTCTATTTCTCTCTTTCTTTTCTGTTTTTCTTTAACTTGTTCTATATCTCCTCTCTCTTTTTCACTCTACATCTCTCTCCCTCTTTTCTGTTTTTTCTCCGTCTTCTTCTATAAATCATTTTTTTTTCTTTTTTCACTCTATTTCTCTCTCTTTCTTTTCTTTTTTTCTTATTTTTCTTTATCTTTTTCTATATCTCCTCTCTTTTCACTCTGTCTTCTCTCCATCTCCATCTTTTTCTTCACTTTTTCTCTGTCTTTCTTTTCTATAAATCATTTTTCTTTCTTTTTCTCCTCTATTTCTCTCTCTTTTCTTTTCTGTTTTCTTTATCTTGTTCTATATCTCCTTTCTTTTTCACTCTACTTTCTCTCTCCATCTCTTTTCTGTTTTTTCTCTGTCTTCTTCTATAAATCATTTTTTTCTTTTCTTTTTCTCACTCTTTTCTGTTTTCTTTCTCTCTCTCTTTTTTTCTGTTTTTCTTTTTATCTTGTTCTATTTCTCCTCTTTTTTCTTCTACTTCTCTCTCCCTTTCTTTTCTGTTTTTCTCTGTCTTCTTCTATAAATCATTTTTCTTTTTTTCTTCTGTCTTCTTCATTTATTTTTCTTTCTCTTCTCTTTCTTTTTTGTTTTTCTTTATCTTGTTCTATATCTCCTCTTTTTCATCATTTTCTCTCTCCTTCTTTTTCTCTTGTCTTCTTTTTTTTCTTTTCTTTTTTCTCTTTCTTTCTTTTTCTATAAATCATTTTTTTTTTTTTTTCACTCTCTTTCTCTCTCTTTGTTTTTTCTGTTTTTTATATATTTTTCTTGTTCTTCTATATCTCCTCTTTTTTTTTTATCTTCTAATTCTCTCTTTTCACTCTACTTCTTCTTTTCTTTTCTTTTTCTCTGTCTTCTTCTATATATCCTTTTTTTTTCTTCACTCTATTTCTTTTCTCTTTTCTTTTCTGTTTTTCTTTATTTCTTGTTCTATATCTTCTTTCTTTTTCACTGTCTTCTTCTCTCTCACTTTTTTTTTCTGTTTTTCTCTCTTTTCATTTATATTTATCTTTCTTTTCTTCTTTTCACTCTATTTCTCTCTCTTTCTTTCTTTTTTTTCTTCTTCTCTTCGTTTTCTATAAATCATTTTTTTTCTTTTTCACTTTATTTCTCTCCTCTTTTTTTTCTGTTTTTCTTTTTTCTTGTTCTTCTTCTTCATTTCTCTTTTTCAATTTCTCTTCTCTCTCACTTTCTTTTTCTGTTTTCTCTGTTTTTTCTCATATATATCCTTTTCTGTTTTTTTCTTCTTCTTCTATAAATTCTTCTTTCTTTTCCTCTTTTCTGTTTTTCTTTTCTTGTTCTATTTCTTTTTCTATCTCTTCTCTCTTTCCTGTCTTTTCTGTTTTTTTTCTGTCTTCTTCTATAAATCATTTTTTCTTTCTTTTTTTTTTCACTCTATTTTCTCTCTTTCTTTTCTGTTTTTTCTTTATCTTGTTCTATATCTCCTCTCATTTTCACTCTACTTCTCTCCCCTGTCTTTTCTGTTTTTCTCTGTCTTCTTCTATAAATCATTTTCTTTCATTTTCCTCAATTTCTCTCTTTCTTTTCTGTTTTTTCTTTATCTTGTTCTATATCTCCTCTCTCTTTTTTCACTCTACTTCTCTCTCCCTCTTTTTTCTGTTTTTCTCTTTCTGTCTTCTTCTATAAATCATTTTTCTTTCTTTTTTTCACTCTTTTTCTCTCTTTTCTTTTCTGTTTTTCTTTTATCTTCTTCTATATATCTCTCTCTTTTTCACTCTATTTCTCTCTCTACCTCTTTTTTCTGTTTTCTCTATCTTCTTCTATAAATCATTTTTTCTTTTTCTTTTTCTCTAATTTCTTTTTCTTTTTTTCTTTTTTTTATCTTGTTTCTTATCTTTCTCTCTCTCTTTTTTTTTTTCTTTTCTTCTCTCTCACTTTTCTTTTCTTTTTTCAAATTCTATTTTCTTTTTTCTTTTTTTTTCTCTGTCTTCTTCTATATATCCTTTTTTCACACTCTACTTCTCTCTATTTCTTTTCTCTTTCTTTTCTGTTTTCTTTTATCTTTTTTCTTTCTTTTTCTATATATCTCCTCTTTTTTTTTCTGTTTTTATCTTTTCTTTTTCTATCTTTTTCTCTATTTTTTCTGTCTTTTCTGTTTTTCTCTATCTTCTTCTATAAATCATTTTTTCTTTCTTTTTCACTCTATTTCTCTCTTTTCTTTTCTGTTTTTTTTAACTTGTTCTATATCTCCTCTCTTTTTCACTTCTACATTCTCTCCCTTTCTTTTCTGTTTTTCTGTCTTCTTCTATAAATCATTTTTTTCTTTCTTTTTCACTCTATTTCTCTCTTTTCTTTTCTTTTTTCTTTTTTTCTTTATCTTGTTCTATATCTCTCTTTTCTCTCTTTTTTCTTCTTTAAATCATTTTTTTTCTTTTTCCTTTTCTCTTTCTTTTCTGTTTTTTCTTTGTTTTTTCTTCTTTTTTTCTCTTCTCTCTTTTCTTTCTGTTTTTCTCTGTCTTCTTCTATAAATCATTTTTTTTTTTTTTCTCTATTTCTCTTTCTTTCTGTTTTTTTATCTTGTTCTATATCTCTCTCTTTTTCACTCTACTTCTCTCTCCATTTCTTTTCTGTTTTTCTCTGTCTTCTTCTATAAATCATTTTTTTTTCTTTTTCTATTTCTCTCTCTTTTTTTTTGTTTTTTTTTTATCTTGTTCTATATCTCCTCTCTTTTTTCTCTCTACTCTCTCTCTTTTTCTTTTTCTCTGTTTTTTTCTAAATCATTTTTCGTCTTTTTTTTCTCTTTTTCTTTTCTTTTTTTTCTTTTCTTTTTCTATTTCTCCTCTCTTTCCTCTTTTTTTCTGTTTTTCTTTATCTTGTTCTTTTTCTTTCTTTTTTCTATTTTCCTCTCTTTTTTTCTGTTTTTTTTTCTTCTTCTATATCTCTTCTTTTCTCCATTTTCTTTCTGTTTTTCTGTTTTTCTCTGTCTTCTTCTATAAATCATTTTTTTTCTTTTTCACTTATTTCTCTTTTTTTTTCTGTTTTTCTTTATCTTGTTCTATATCTCCTCTCTTTTTTTACTCTACTTCTCTCTCCCTTTCTTTTCTGTTTTCTCTGTCTTCGTCTATAAATCATTTTTTTTCTTTTTCACTTCTTTTCTCTCTCTCTTTTTTTTTTTTTCTTTATCTTGTTCTATATCTCCTTTTTTTTCACTTTCTACTTCTCTCTCCTTTCTTTTCTGTTTTTCTCTGTCTTCTTCTA